AAATTAGGACTGGAATAAATAATTGGCATACACAATGGAGGTGTGTAAAAAATGAAGTCTGCAAGGATTTGCATAAATCTCTTACTCTAAGGCTGGAGTAAGTATGGTTGTGTATGGATGATACTAAATTATTCAGAGGAGTAGAAACAAAGAATTTCCTAGATAATCTTCAGAATGGAAGAGATAACAAAATGAAAATCAGATTTGGGCAAGATAAAAGGAGGTAAAATAATATGCTCCACATTTGAATACAAATATACTAATCTTATCTAGGTTGAGCAGGCAATGATAAGCCAGGTAAGAGGTTTTGGATGGGAGGGAAGTAGGAAATAATTGAACTGGGTAAGAATTGGGGGGGAAAAAACATCATCAAGGACTCCAAAGGAAAACATTTGGAAGTAAAATGTGGTGCTGATGTCATAAAATGTTGTGGTGAAGCTACACTAAGAAACAGGTAGATGCAGCAGAGATTTCTCCTCTAGAAGCTGAATGGTTTTCAAGAACTGAAAAACAGAATCCAATCTGGATCGGTCATCGGGACCAGAGATTTAGTCTTCCAAGCTTTCGGACTTGTGCTGGAGAGAGTGACACATTCCAGTAGAGAGAAGTTACAGTACCTGAGGATTGGCTCCAGCAAGAGTTGGAAAGCTTGGAAGACTAAACCTCTGATCTTGGTGATCGATCCAGATTAGATCCTAGGACATTATCCTGGGACGTGTATATTTGCCTTATACTGGGACATGCATATTTGCCTTCATTCAACTGAAAAACAATTTAGGTTTTTCAACACCTGCTTAAATGGCTCATCAACTGTACGATTGTGCACCCTACAATATGAGTCTAGGAAGGATCAGATGATGGAATGTATGCACAGATGAGGCCCTGGGGATCCAGGTGTGGATGGAATGGACATGAGAGTGAGGAATATGAATTCTGATAAAACATTTTCTCTTGTCTTCATTTCTTTGCCTTGGCAATAAAGAGCTTTGCTCCTTTCCTGTCTCTCACTGAAGAGGGAGTGGGGTGAGGGAGTTTGCTGCCTCAGACAAAAGTTTTAAACTGCTTTTACTTTTCTCAGCGGAAGGAGGGGGGTCGTTGGGGAGCTGCCTCAGATAAAACTGTTTGTTCTTTTATTCTGCTCTGCCAAAGGAGCGGGGGGGGGGGGTGTACATTAACAGCGGACAGAAGTTAGCACCTTAAAACCACTAGCCAGGATATTAGGAACAAGAATAGCTTGTTTATAAGAAAAACCCCAAAACCCACATAGCTGGCACACTTTGCAAGATACCTGTGACCTGAGATGAAAAATAGGTGATGTGACATTTAGCTATTTAACATAACAAGCGTAAGGGTTTAGAGGGGCTGAAATCCAAATAACCAATCATATCATCTCTTATGCATGCATTATTAGGGAAGGGCAAAGGGTTGAATGCAACTATCCCTTGACTATATAAAATGCTGTAAGATTCTAATCTTGGCCCTTGGTTAGCTTTTCAAAACCGGGGTCCTTATATCTTGGTACCAAAATAAAAGTATGATTCTAGATCACACCTTGTGTCCGGTGACTTATCTGCTTTGACACCAAGCAAGAGCCCAGTTTTGGGGACAACATTTACACCATCATGCAAAGGTTTTGCCATTTCTCCACTAGGGACTGAAAGCATCTTCAAAGCATCAACCTTTAATAGTGCTAAAGGCTAAAGTGGCATAAAGCGGCTATTCACAGCAAAGGTGGGATGATTATAAGAGGCCATAAGTCACAAATAAGGAAATTATGCAAATCTGGTATTCCAAAAGTAAGCATTTTCCTTCCCTGTGCCACCGTTTAATTTCTATGGAATTAAAGCAATGACAGTTTCATGCCCAAGTGCAAAAAAAACAAAAAAATTCGTGATACAAAATTATCTGCAGTAGAATAACTTGTAAGCCACCCAGAGTCACCTTATAGGGACATGGAGGGCATAAAATGTAATAATAAATAAAACATAAATAAATAAATGCCTCCAGAATAATACTTCAGCTTTGACTCCTTCCTTAAATAGGGCATAGACCAATTCAATTCTCCCAATCATAATTAGTACTTCAGAATGAAATACAATGAAAAATTGTGAAATCCCATTTCTGGGGCTTAAGGGTTCCCTGTCCCCACCACATATCTTGTGGAAGAGCATATTCTCACATCTAAAGTATGAATGAGTCAATAGGAATAAGCCAGTGCAATTTGTCTTCTGCCTCCCAAAAGTTCATTATGATTTATCACTGAAACTATGCACTGAACTCCATTGTGTCAACAAAAGCTGAAGTCACCAAGGCTTTGCTTTCTCCTCCATTGTCTTCACTTTCTCAGCTTTCTCATAGAAGAAGTTAGAAACTCCCTACAGCATAAACATTTTGCACAGAAATGGTTCCTAGGGAGCCCTGTCAGGGTGTGTTTATCTCCCACTGGATATGTTCGCACATTTCCAGTGTTGCCAGTCACGATTTGCTTGCCTGATGCTTCCTCTCCATGAACAGCAGAGCTGCAAACCAAACACCCATCTGTGGCTTTATTTTCTAGCTGCAAATGTCACATAGTGATTGCTTTTGGTCAGAAGAACCTTTTGCTGGATGCTTGTTTTCCTCATAGGCTTTTTCTGTGTGTTTTGAATGGAAACAATAACCCCAAATAAAGTACAAAGACCTAGGTTGCAACTGGATTATTGAGTCATCCAGTAGATTCTTGGCTAAACTATGATTGACAGTATATGTGTCATGGAAACTTCCCCACAAAAAGGCAGACCAAACTAATTCTTCTTCCATATCCATCTTCCTAAAACTAGGCTGAGTTCTTTACACATATGTCTAGTCATTATTTTGTTTCATGTTGCAAAAAAACTATAAAGCCTTCATATATGTTTTTATGACATGTGCATCTTTCTTCATCCATGGAATGCCGCACAAAATAAATAGGAGAAATAAGGATGGATGTGAGCTCTCTTAGTCATTGACCTAAGCCAGATCTACTTTGCTTCAGTCATGTGGCTATACCCTGGGCATACATCTTTATCTGCTTCCAACAAACGCACCAATGAGGCCTCTACCAATGCCAACAAAAAGTCTTTTCAACCCTCTGAAAGTCAGAAAACATTATTTTCCATCAGCTTCATTCCTCTTTTCTCTGGAGATCCTGAAGATAGAGCAAGACCTGAGAAATTGATTAAAATGAGGGCTCTGAGAAAAGGAGAGGATTTCTAGAAAGTGGATGGTTCTATCAGCTTCTAGCTGGATTAGAAAACCCTGTGTGCAGAATTACACTTGGAAAACACCCCTAATTACCACAAAAGGTTCATCCACATAAGGTCACTGGTGACAAACTCATGGAATAATTAGCGACCTACTGTTTTGCCCTGTGGCCTGCACTCCTATGTCAGATTGCATTTTTCCTTTATGCAATCTATTAGATATCTGGCAGGGTAGTAGCCATGGAGTAAGGGCCTAAGCCAGGTGACCCCCATCGTGCTTGCTTGCAAAAGAGAGAAAAAGAGGTCATGCTCATCCTTATTTTGAATCAAGGAAACAAGCAACCTAGAATTAAGGAGAAATTTCATGACAGTGAGAACAATTAATCACTGGAATAGCTTCCCTCCAGAGCAGAGGTGGGTCACTCCCGGTTCAGCTTGGTTCGGACGAATCTGTAGTAGCAGTGGAGGGAGATGTCGCAGAAGCACAGAAGTGTTGCACACGTGCGCAAGCACAAGCGAACCAGTAGTAAAAAAAATTAGAAACCCAACACTGCTCCAGAGGTTGTGGGTGCTCCAATACTGGAGGATTTTAAGAAGCGTTGGACAGCCATTTGTATGAAATAGTATAGGGCCATGATGGCAAACCTATAGCATGCATGCCACAGATGGCACACAGGGCTATATTTGCTGGCATGCAAGCCATCAGCTCCAGCATGCATGCACATGATGGGCACCTGATTTTTGGCCTTCTGGAGGGCCGGGGGATGCCATTTTTGCCCTCCCCAGGCTTCAGGAAAGCCTCCGGAGCCTGGGGAGGTTGAAAAACAGGCTCAACAGGCCAACCGGAAGTTTGGAAACGAACTTCCGGTTGGCCCGTTGGCCCCTTTTTCCCCCCTCCCCAGGCTTCAGGAAAGCCTCCGGAGCTTGGGGAGGGTGAAAACTGCTTTCTCTGTGTGTGGGGGGGCTGCGCATGCACAGGTCAGTGGGGCACATTGAATTGTGGGTGTGGGCACACGCGATAGCGCACGCGCACAGAATTTTGACACACCTTTACAAAAAGGTTCACTATCACTGGTATAGGGTCTCCTGCTTGAGCAGGGGGTTAGACTAAAAGACCTCCAAGGTCCCTTCCGACTCTTGTTATTCTGAAAGTGAAAAGTTGGAGCTGGAAAATAGTGGCTCTGGGAGTCCTCCCCTCCATAGAAGCACAGACAGGATATTTGTTGGATTGTGTAGCATCTTTGCATTTGTGCAATTTTATGTTATACAAATGTTTTATCAGTTTGGGGAGAGTGTGTTTCCTCTTGCTGATAGCTTTACTGTTTCTTTTTCCTTTGTTTTTTAAAAAAAAGTTGGCTTGAGCAGTGACTGCAAGGAAGAGCAGAAACAAAAGTGGAATGATGGCCTCAAAACAGAGAGCGATAAATGTACAGAGGTTTTCCTAATTTCTAGATCTGTTCTACATTACTTTGTAATGGAAAGAGGTCTGATGGGAAAAAAGCTGCCGTATATGTCTTGATTTATGATTTCATCCTTTTTCTTCCAAAGAAAAGTTTTATACATTTAATCTCACAGGCCGGCTAAAATTAATGGCAGACATGAGTTGATCTTTGCACAGCTCTGGATGGCAAGATTCCCCCCCCCCCTTTTCCTTCCTGTTCCTGAAACGGCTCGGCGTTGTCATCTTTATATCAAGCTTTGGTCTCGGTGCCAACTTTTCCTTCCCCCTTCTTCCCTCTCCTCCTCCTATATTTGTGTGCGTTCAGAACGAGCCAGCATTCGTCGGCTCAGAAACTTCAGTTCCTGGGCGGACCCCACACACTCATACAGCTGGATTTGAAACAGCTGGATCTGCCTCCCTTTCACTTTTAGCGAGGAGCCCCACAAGCCCTAGACAGGCTGGCTGGCGGAGAATGAACCAAGAAGCACTGCAAAACTGGGATTTGGTTGCTGGCAAGAGCCAGAAAATGGGTTACTGCAGGAGGCTTCCTCAGCTTCTGCTATTGCTGCTTCAGCTGCGTAAGTACAGAACTAACTTTCACTGTTTATTTTCCTTCTCTTCAAGCTCCGTCCTCCTCTGTGGGTGATTTAGCTGAAGGAGACGGCAGAGAGGTTAGAGAATTTAGAGTAAAGCTGGCTGGAAAATCTATTTTGTGCTTCTTTTCAACAAGTGGTTGGTGATTCACTTCAGTTCTTCAGGCTCCTCTTGAAGGCAAGAAAACAGTCACTGCTATAGCCAGGTCTGGGTTGGCATTAACGTTATGCAAGATAACTTTTTAGCCACTTTTTAGAAACAATTCAAAATTGTTGACATATTTAGCCAGACTGAATCCAGCTGAGACGATTGGTTGAATGGTTGCGAGTTCGGCATACTTGAATGCTGAGATAGCTCCCTCTTCACCACCCTCTTTTTCCCATGCACTTTCACAGATTTAGGCAGAGAACTAATTAAGCTTAAGTAAACTAACACAGTTGAGAAATGAAAGGCGCATTTGGGCAACAGCATCTTAACTATTTGAAGTTCAACGCAACCAGCACATTAGCAAATAATTCCTCGTTACACACATTCTTCTATATATGTCTATAATCGTCTGTTACAATTCTCATGCCAGACTTTAAAAAAAAAAAAAAAACCAGTCACACAATACTACAAAGTCGACTTCCTTGGTTTATAACTTGAAGGCAGTCACCCAGAGATGCCATATGCAAGTTTAAAAAAAGTATACAGACATATGTAGCCTAAAGTATGTAACACCTGCAAATACGTACTTTCATATGGAATTTGTATATTTTACTGACACATCCCATTTCCACTAAAACCAGATTGTTCATAGTTCTGAGAAATCAGGGGATTAACCTCCGGGAAAGGACTTCCTAACTATTAGGTGTTCCTAATCAGTGTTCTAGGGGTGAAGCTTTGCTATTCCATGTGCTGCTTATTCCAGCTTCTTTGAAAGAACAGACCACGAGTCTGTTCTTCAAAACCAGCCTAGCAACCTAGAACTAAGGGGAAATTTCCTAACATTGAGAACAATTAACTAGTGGAATGGCTTGTTTTCAGTAGTTGTGGGTGCTCCATTACTGGAGGTTTTTTAAGAAGAGCCTGGACAGTCACTTGTCTGAAATGGTATAGGATCTTCTGTTTGAACAGTGGGTTGGATTAGAAGACCTCCAAGGTCCTTTCCAACTCTGTTATTCTGTTATCTACAGATAGTTCTTGTTTGGTAATCTATTAGAGTCCAGCTATCTTGGCATCATTTACAATACTGTTTGGGCAGCATTGGGCAGAGCCGAGGTGGCGCAGTGGTTAGGGTGCAGTACTGCAGGCCACTTCAGCTGACTGTTATCTGCAGTTCAACGGTTCTAATGTCACCGGCTCAAGGTTGACTCAGCCTTCCATCCTTCCGAGGTGGGTGAAATGAGGACCCAGATTGTGGGGGCGATATGCTGACTCTGAAACCGCTTAGAGAGGGCTGAAAGCCCTATGAAGCGGTGTATAAGTCTAACTGCTATTGCTATTGCTATTCCTACCATCAAAAATCCTACACAAGCTGGAGAGCTTCTTTGTGGCACAGTTTCTCATATGTCTCCTTGATTGCTGAACTGGACAACTACACTGGTGATGAACCATTGCACACAGGAACCTATACACATAGGCTTTATACAGAACTGTCCATATAGGCCTAATCAAACTGATCCAGTAGTACTCATTACAATTTGCAGTAGATTTGCAAGGCCTCAGGAAGAGGCACCATCTGAGATATTTTAAAGATATTTTTGAGATATTTTTTATTTGAAAAAAAGCAGAGAATGAACTTCCTGCATGTGACTAAGCTGTGACTCTTGCTTAAATAGATTAACCATTTTTACAATGGCATTTTTCTGCTTTGTCCTTCCCCAGACAGATACATAGACATACACACATCTTTTAACGTGCTAGAGGAGGAAACTAGAAGTTGGACATACATGGTTTTTTTAAAAAAAAAATATTTCCACTAAAACAGCTTTCCAGAAATCAGATTATGGATGTGTGGAGCTGCAGCTCCTATCATATCCATATGCCTGAGGGGTTAAAGGAATGAAGTCCACATGAGGACACCAGTTGGGGAAGCTGCTATATGAGAATGTTTCTGGTTGAGGCTAAACTGGAAATCCAGAAAATAGGATGCAGAGCAGAAAGGAAGAGCTGTATTTCATAGGATTTTGTGCAACTTTCCTTAAGAAGTGCTACATCACCCCCTACTTAGATCTTTTAAGAATTAAAAGAAGGTCCAATATAATTCATGGGTATCGGCAGCTAGAAACAGATAAATTGAGTTAAGATTACAAGCCCTGAATTTTACCTGCAGGTCTACAGAACTCAGCTCATAGAGTTGTGCACAGGAACAGGTTGTCAAGCAACCTGGACCTTCCACAATCTGATCCTATGCACATCTACTTGCAGAGATTGAAGGTAAAAGAGGAACATAGTTCAAATCTTTCTCATTAGTTTCAGTGAGATATTAGGCATTACTGATCATACTAAGAATGCTGGTCATGGGCATCTTCATGCTCACCGGCTTTCTTGAATATAAAATGTAAGTCAAGTTAAACTCAACAGCTCTGTTACATAAAGTTAAAAATAAATCCAAGGCACCCCCACCAGTGCTCCCAATGCACAACTCAACTTTCTGGATCATATGCAGTTATGGTATTTAACTTGGGTTTATTGTCTTCCAAATAAAGCACTCAACACTTTGGGTTTACAGAAACTGTAACTAGTAACCAAATTTCATTTAAATTGGTTTCTAAACAAGGATTAACAAGAATCTGAGTATTCTTTCCCCCTCCCTTTCTTTGTCTTTGTAAGAACTAGGGAAGGTCAAGTCTGAGGTCCTTTCTCAAATTACATTTCTGTCTTGGATTCAATATCTTTTATCTGACTATTTTCTTGGTTGGAACTCATCTTCATGTTCCTCAAGGTTAGTCCTACTGCCCCTTATATCAAGTCACATCCCATTAGCATTGCCCTTAAGTGTTGCTATCCAATGGGACCTGGGAAGGGTGCGTTTTCTATAGCACCTTCTGCCCTACTGAAGAACTTTTTTCCTGGGATCCAGCAATCCCCCACCTCTTTCCCCTTTTGGAAAGCCATAAAGACCTGTTTTCTTCCCCACATGTATAGGGGAAGCTTGGAGCCTGAGGATTGTATGGATAGATGGATTGGATGTGGTGGGTCAGGCACTTGGGTTTTTTGCTGTTATTTTTCTTGCAAGCTGTCCACAATTGTGTTTTGTACCATGGGAGGCAGCATACAAATCAAATCAATCAATCAATCAATCAATCAAATAAACACATGGTTAATACCGATAAAAATAAGCAGCAATTTTATTCATATCTGAAATGTTTTGCATTTAGGTAAACTTAGGATGAGAGGCTATGTTTCTAGTAGATGGATAATCAATTCAATCTCTGCAACAATTCATATATATATAGAACAGGCAATCGTATAAGATCAGCTAAGCCTCCAGAATTTCTGTCTTTAATTTGCAAATGGGCATCTTTCCAGGCTCACTGGAAAATGCTGAGGAATATTCTCACCAGATGTACAAGAAGATAGTCTTTGGGTTGCTCTCCATGTAGCACATCAGCTTTTCTTCTTCTCTTATCATTAACATCATCTGCCCCTCCCCTACACATTAGTATTACCATCATCACCATCATTGTCTTCAATCCATTTCATAACAAAAAAATAAAATAAAATCTAGTCCTCCCCAAAGCAAGGAGACATGGATTACTTAGGTTCTTCTGGCAGAAAACTTTGAAAGAATTAGGGGCTCTGAATCAGTGTACTTGACATATGCAATTCCCTGGATTGAATGCATCCCTTTGTAGATAAGTAAAGGCACAAAGTCAGCTGAGTGACTTTGTTGGGCCACTCACTTTCTCTCAGCCTTAGGAAAGAGGCAATGCCAGGGGTGAAATTCAGCAAGTTTTGGAGAATCGGTAGTGGAAATTTTGAGTAGTTCAGAGAACTGGCAAATACCACCTCTGGCTGGTACCAGAGTGTGGTGGGAATGGAGATTTTGCAATATCCTTCCCCTGCCATGCCCACCAAGCCATGCCCACAGAACCGGTAGTAAAACAATTTGAATTTCACCACTGGGCAATGCCAAATCATTTCTGAAAAACCTTGCCTAGAAAACTGCAGGGACTTCTCCAGACAGTTTCCAAGAATTAGATCCGTTTGAACAGAATAAAAACAAACAAATTGAGAACCACTTTAATAGAAAGTGAGGGATTGTGAATCCAAGTCCCACTTTGGGCATGAAGCCAAGCACTCTCAATCTGTCAACCCAAGGAAGTTGGCAAGAGCAAAACACTTGTGTGGATTCTGTTCGAAAATAGTCAAAGGGCACCATGTTGATTATTCCCATAATATATTTATTTCTCTAATACTCGATGAGGAACTTGCATGAGGAACATGGCTGAGTTGGTTCTGCCCATTATAGGTTAACGCATCACAGTAAGGTAAAGCAAATAAACTATATTATGGTTTGGTGTGTTTTGTGAAGCCATTTGGTTGGGGTTTAATCACTAAGGCAAATCAGGATTGTACAAAACAGGTCTATTCTTCACTAGGGAGGAAGTAGCTATTAGGAATATAATCTAACGGTTGGGTTGGCAATATATAAATCATGTAACAATGCTATACCTGTTTCTTTAAATCATGCTGTAAATGTGATTGGTTGCTGTTTCCTCAATCGGCCATAAGATGGAGCCAGAATCACTGTTAGATGCTGATCTGTTCTGATATGAGGGTTTTTGGAAGCTGACTGTTAAAAGTGCCGTATTGTGATCAGCGTGAGCTATTGTAAGTTTTGCAGCTACTAGCAAACTTTGTGTACCAGACTGTTTGTATGTTTATGGACTTGGACTATGTTATTTGGATTATCCCTTAACTGAAAGATGTTGATGACTGACTGTCTTAACCATGTATGACTTGG